AGCTGTGCAGTAAATATTTGATTCATTGGAAAGCGTCACCTGATTCCGTATGAAAGTTAATGTCACCATAGAGAGATGTGTCAGCAGCATTCTAAATGTGTGAAGCACAGCAAACAGCTTGACTAATCTCATGTGAGCTGACATTGTGACTGATGATCAGTGTGCCGGTGGCCCACCTGAGTGTGGACTATAATCTCTTAGTTCATGGTGATATTGCCAGGTTCAGCTTTTACTGGAGTAGCCTTTTTCTACTTTAATCGAATCAGATGTATATATATATATATATATATATATATATATATATATATATATATATATATATATATATATATATATATATATATATATATATATATATATATATATATATATATATATATATATATAGTACAACTTTTAATTGTTGGTGACAAATTTCATTGTGGAAACTCAGTTTCAGGTGAGAGTTTGAATATATCAGATTTCAAAGACTAATAGCAGGAGAGAGAAGAGGCACTATCAGAAAGAACAACAGCGAAATGACATTATACATTGACTTTTCTTTCTCACTCTGACTTTACAATATTTAAAAGTTAATAGTTGTTATTTAGAAAGCAAGTTATTAGTATTCAGTAGCTAATGGCTACTGTCTTTTCTTGAGAAGTAAATTCTGTATCAGGCAATGTTGCCTGACACTATTTTTTTTTTATTCTGCCAAGCTGAAATGCTGTTTAGTGTATCTTCCAAAGGCACAACCCATGAGATCAGGCTCAAGATTGATTTTAGCATTTTATCTTTTTGGATCATTGGGGAAGCACATGTTTAATACAGAAGAATTGTTATTTTTATACTTATGATCAATACCTATGCATATTTGAAGTAAGTACTCATTTATGGAGTTCTTGTTTTCAATATTGTGTTGTGCTATTTTGTAGTTGATAAAAGTAAAGTACTTTATTAATTTAATTTGTTCAGGAAATATTGTAGTAATTTCATTTCTTTTCCATACATTGTAAATTGCATCACAAAAAACTGTAGCAATTTTTTACCGTAAAAAAATTAACTATTACTTTATTGGATGTTCAACAGAAACCATTTTAGATGTGACACTGAACTATTTTACTTCATAGTTTAGAATTGCAGCTTGGAAAAGAATGAATGAGGTTATTGCAATTACTGGCCCTTTTCCTTTAGAAATGGGGTCAGAAGTTTGTTTCTCAGCTGGACTGGGAACACCTTAGGATTCCCAGTGAGCAGCTGGTCCAACTGACCGGGGAGAGGAAGTCTGGGTCTCTGTGCTCAGGCTGCTGCCTCTGCGATCCGGCCCCAGATTAAGAGGAAGATAATGGATGGCAAATATCAGCACTTTTTTTAGATGAAGCAATACATCACAGTTTGTATCATTTCAGCCTTGTCATGATATTATTTTTAATATTAATTTCAGCAAATGTTTTCATGAATTCTAAGATCCGGGTGTTTTCTGGATCTTCCTTTTCTGGAAAGGTTTTTTCAGGTAGTCATTTATATTTGTTCCATTGTGACGTCACCAGATAAATATTTAAGCATAATCTGCTTAAACAAATCAGATTCCTGATTCATTCCTTAGCCTCACATTCATCCACTCATCCACCACTCTAGTCTTGTTTTCTTTAATACACTCATTGACTCCTGATGCGCCCGTTTATTTTTCTTTTCGATCCTTGTACTTTTTTTCTTTTGGATGCATTTTGCTTTGAGTTTTCCATTCTGATGCTTTGATATCCTGTTTGATCTATTTAAATGCTTCCCTTTTACAATCTGTCCATTTTGTTGCACTTCCTCTATAAAGGTACAAACAATCTAAAATGAGGTTTTTTTTTCATCCTTTCTACTATTTTGGTTGACAGCTCTCTTTTTAGGTCCATGTTTCCTGTCAATCATCCAGCTGTAACAGGTTCTCAATGTCTGCGAGAAGTTTAAGCATGTGCAGCTATTTAATTTAGAAATGAAAATCATAAGACGAATAAATTTTACTCTCTTCTGACAACAGAAGAGAGAAAATTCAACAAAAAAGCAACGAATAAGTTCCACATTTCAAGTAGTTAGATCTGTGCAGTTGGAGCAGGACGATACTCCCCCATTATCATTTCAGAGGAGACACATGTGGCCATTTCAAGCTGAATTCTGCCATATGTGTACGACCTAGTTGAGTTCTTGAGACGGCATAGACCAAAAATATATGAGTCACCTTTATCACACTCATCAATTCATTCAGTGACCCTATGGATAGGGGCATTCTCATCCTGGAAGAGACCACTCCCATCAGGATAGAGATGTTTCATCACAGAGTAAAGGTGATCACAAAGAAAAAAACTGTATTGATTTGTCCTGACCCTACCTGTGAGCACAAGTGAACCCAAACCATGCTATAGCAAAGAAGCTCTGCGTGATTCTGTTTCTTTCCTCTTTAATTTGTCACCTGTCTGTATGTAGGCAGTGGAGGTGATGATGAGTCTTTGAAGAGATTTGAGCAGTTTGGAAAATTGCTTTGGAAGCCAAAAGTATGAAAATGTCTATGTTTTCACTCAGGTTTGTAGGGGCAGTGAGGTAGATATGCAATTCCTTATATGATGTTAAATATTTTATTTAATTATTTTTTTACAAATCAGTTCTCACCTTGATATTAACAGGATTTTTTTGTCAAAAAAGGCTTGTTTTGTTGACCATGACTGATTCATAAAAGCAGTAAAAGTAGTAAAATGTCCAAGAGAGTGAATATTTTTAGACTTTGATTTAGCCATTCTGATCCATGGTAAAAATCATGGATCAGATTTTTACTATGGAAAAATCTGATCAATTTTTTCCTGGTAAAAATGGATCAGAACAATAAAAGTAAGTCTATTGTTCTGTTGGAAGGTAAAGTTCTGCCCCAATGAATCACAGAACTTCCTCTGGGATAATCCTGTATTTTGCTTTACTCTTCCTCCCACCGATTCCAACTGTCTTCCCTACCTCCTAGACGTTGATGCTGCTACTACAATGTTTCATGGTGCAGATGGTGTGTTCAGGGTGTGATGTGATCTGCTTAGAAATAATTTTATGACATTCTGCTTGCCACTTTTCCATATGGTCAGATTGGTTGAGTGTGTTACTAGTAGTTGTCCTCTCAATAGTTGCTTCATATAGAGACTTTAAAGATCCTCCAGATCGTTAAATGATGGTATCGTACAAAGATTATCATTGTGGCTGATTCTTTTATAAATGCTCTCGTTTTATGTCTTGTAATTGTTAAAATTATCCCATGTTTTTCATTTATGAATGAAGACTAGGGTGATACTCTAGAAGATCTTGAAAATATGAGTTTTTGGTTTTTTTATATATATATAATTCTTTTTTGAAGTCCTCCACAGTGTTATCCCTGAGCCATCTAATATGTTGGTTCATAAATGTTCTCTCTGAGACTTGTTAGAAAATACACACAAGTAAAATCTATTTACTAAATGGATTTCATTTCTGAGTACCAACGTGAGCAAACTTTGTGTAATCCTCCTTCCACTTTAAAATGTTTAATCTTATTAAAATCCTTCAAGGTTTGTGGTGCTTACTGGCAAAGTGTGAAAAGTTTGTGCAGTATAAGATTTTTATTTATTTTTTTTCAAATCTCGGTATATTCAAATCTGGTTTGCCAATTAGTGTTTTTCAAGGCTGTGTGCTATATGATTATGCAGTGTAGGAGACAATTAAGTAGTTAGTGATTTAATATAACTTTAATGCATCATCAATGTTTGTAAGCATGTAACTGAGAGATCGGTATCTGTGAAACATGTAAAAATAAAAAAATAAGTAAATACTCTTACAGCTTTAATAGCTTGATTTATATTGGAGAAATACATAAAAAATAAGAAAGATTACTAAGAAATCTGTTTAAGTCTGTGTAGGTATTTAAGTCCCTTAAATTCTTGATGCTAAACAAATAAATAAGCGCATAAAGAGAGTTAGCAGGTCTGATGGAAAGATTTGCAGTCACTGTTCATGGTCAAGCTTCCCCTCATCTCCAGCAGACGATCAGCTTCATCAGTGCAATCTAGGTCAAGGAAGATCTACAGATCTTTGGCTCTCCCGTCGTCCTCTGCACCCAAGTGTGAGTGGGACTAATGAGGCAGACAGCTGCTCCCCAAGCTGAAAGTCCCTGCGGTGAACTGTAGCACAGACAATGTCACCTTCAAATCCAGGGACATAGGTGTACCCACTGACAGCAAAGCTGATCTACAAAAATCCAGAGGAACATGTAAATCTTCTTAGCTTGTCAGTCCTAAACAGCCTCGTCACAAATTCAAGAGCTCTAATGCAACTGTTGCTTCCTGACATGCTTAAGAAGGAGGATTTGGGCTTCAAAAAGAAAAAAGAAAAAAATCGCCTCCTTCAAAAGAGTTTAAGTTTAAGATGTGATTCTGTAGCTAGGAAGAGTTTAATAAAAACGCACAAAGGATAAAAATACTCCAGCAATGTAATTAGGGGGACTTTTCTGAGACGACAAGTACAAATGTGGAATAAGAAGGTAAAATCCTGCAAGGCTGTGTGATTAGGTCTCATTTGGATGTATTCGGCACACTGCAACAAGCGGCTGTTCTGGGGCACGGCAGTCGCTCGGATCGAAGGCCCACGGTGTCTGGGATTATGTGTCAATTTACCACCCAGCTGCAGATCCACACTATGCAGCAGAACACAACTACCTCTAATTAGGCCATGCTACCAATTAGGTACTTGCAATAAGGCAACACAGAAGGCAGTCTGGGTGACTAACATTTACTATTGTCACGAGAAAAACTAACATCAGTCCTTTAGAGGCTATGGCTGTTTAAAGCATTGTGTGATATTCTGAGGGAGAATGTTGTAACTAGAAGTTATGTTAAGGCGTAAAGAAAACTTTGATTTTAGTTTTGAGTGAAAAAGTAAATAAAAAAAAAAAGATGTTAACATGCAATATGTAACTGGTTCTTGTTTTAGCAATTTTCTCAAGCTGTGTTTTACAAATCCCACAGGGAGCCAGGGTCAGTTCCCCATCACTCAGAATGTGACGGTGGTGGAGGGGGGCACAGCCAACATGACCTGTCGTGTGGATTACAATGATAACACTTCCCTCCAGTGGTCAAACCCTGCACAACAAACTCTGTTCTTCGGGGACAAGAAAGGTGAGTGATATTTCCAAAGATGAGGAGGGAAAAAAATGATGAAACGTTAAGCTAATGGTAATTAATGTTAAATTGCATCAGCCTCTTTTCAGATTATTTTTTAAAACTCTGAATGTTCGAATATGTCTCGTCTTCTCAGTCAAAGTGTGCCTGTGAGAACAGTTTGACTGAATACATAACGGATGTGATAAAAGGGAAACGCATTCATTACTTCTAATGTCGAAGAAACTTTTCATGTTTTTTTTTTATCTTGTTGATGTACCAGGGGGCAGACTAAGCAGGAATAGACTGTTTTTGTATTGCACTTTTGTAATCACGCAGCACTCACTGTGTTGTTTACAACATTGTAGTGCCTGTGGATGTTGAGATGATTGGTCTTAATTAGTGTCTATGCTGCCCTAAATTTGTATTGTTGTTTTGATATCACTCTGATCTGGAAGTAGAGTGTTGCAACCTCGTGAAACATGGCCTCAGCTTGGATGAAACATAACGCACTCTCACCAGCCAAATCCAATTTAAAGGTGACAAAAGTCTGGATTTGATAAATTAGAATTGGGGTGAAAGGGAGTGTTACAGAGGACTGGTCTTGTAAGGGTCTGGGTGCTCATCTATCAGTGTTTCTCACAGCATATTACCCATTTCATTTCTCCTGTAGCTGCTAATACAATATCATTGGTTCAGTGATTGAAGATGAACTTTCCCTTTGAATAACAATTGATGGGGAAAGGAAGATGCCACAGCAAACCAGGAGAACGAGAGTCCATCTGGTTTGAAGAAATACTTTCCTCCCTCACAACTGATTGGATTTAGTAATGAGGTCTAAGGTGTTTTATTAGATGAAATTGCTTCCAAATACAATTAAATGAGACTTAACTGAATCTTAAACAGATCCTCTTGTGTGAATAGTGTGAGTGTGCCCTGAGAATGTGAATTGAAGTAGAAATCAAAGAACAGAACCTATTCCTCTGCTAAACATATTATTCTATGTTATAGATTCAGGTAAGTTCATCTTATAATTCAGATAATTTAGTGCTTTCTAGAAAATTTGCTTGCGTTGTGCCATTGACTTTGAACCAATCTTTCAGACCAAGCATGCATGTAGCGACAGTGGAGAAGGGAAGCTCCCCTTTAACAGGATGAAACGTCCAGCAGATCCTGGCTCAGTATAAACAGTCACAACTGACTGGGAGTTTGAGAAGACAAAGCTGTATGAACATTAAAAAGGAGAAGAGAGAGAATGGGGAAGACATGCAGCAAAGGTCTCAGGGTCAGGAATGAAACCCATTCATGTTTTTACGTTAGAGTGTATAGAGAACTATAGCCTCTGCATGGGGACTCGCTCTCCTTTTACAACACGCATCGACCTTTGTGCTCCATTTTTAAGGGAAAGCTTTTATTCTTACAATGTTTGTTTTATGAGAAGAGGCTTATTCTAATATAGATTTTTCGCGGTTGTTAAAATTCAAGCCTCAGTCCTTGACTACACATGTTTTTCATTCATGCAATGTGGTTTTTAGCCTCTTTGAGTTTGGTAGAGAGCTGAAATCTAACCAGGCATTTTTAGGAGCAAAATCTGTCTTTCCTGGAGGCAATTGTGCTCTGGCCACTCACTTTGCTGATGCATCCTAAGCAAAAAAAAAAGGGTAGGAGTTGTGCTAATAGTATATGATTTGAGCTAAGACAAGCATATTTTGAATAAAAGTGGCCCACGAATGCAACCTTGAGAGACCTCGAGTGTGATCTTTGTTCACTTGTCAAAACACACAAAGTTGTCCCAGTGTACAGAGGAAGATCCGAACCAAGTTTAGCACAGTATGAGATAATTTTACCCACTTTTTAAGTACATCAGGCACCATGATACAATCAAAACTAGATGAGGGAGGTTCCATAATTCCTCCTAGAAAAAACTCATAATCTTTGATATGAGCTTGAAGAATAAAATGAATGACGCCACTTTGCTCATTTTCTTTAACAATTTTTATTACAGGGCAAACTCCTTTTGCTAAGCAATGACGATGACAAAATGAATGCTGTTAATAAGAGTAGAAGTTGACAGAGCTAAGTGTGGGAACATTTCCTCTCTGTCTCCCACAGCCAAATTAAAAGCTTTATTGGCACAACAAATGCGATGCCTCGGAGGCTATCAGGAAAAATGGGAGGCGTTGAACGACACAAGATTCATATGTAGAACAAAGTGGGACACCTGGAAAGATACTTCTGCTGTGCCAAATCACCAGTTAATTGCTTGGCATAGAGCTGCAACTGTCCTCTTACTTGTTTTGGCTTCACTTGTCGAGCCAGTGAAGAATGCTGCATTTAACCTCATGCTGACTTTCATTTCAACATGAAACTGTTGCGTTTGAGGCAGCCCTGTTCACTTTCTGTGATAAAAACCTGGTCAAGGATTGCTGTCACTGAGTAGATTAGATTATGGCAGCAATGATGCATTACCCTACTCTCAGTTTTAAAATTTTAAACTATCTGTATATGCTAGATACATATCAATTTTTCCTGTTGCTTCCAGTCCTTGTAGTCTATCTCTCCATGTTGTACAGTTGTTTTGAATGACTATAACAGTCCCAAGGCGTTCCCAGACCAGCCAAGAAACGCCTTGGAACGCCATTTAACACGCTGCTCTTTGCCATGGAACTAGTTTCCATTATTTCTGAAGTCATATGATAACATAAGATAAAATTTGATCTTTGACTTGTCTAGAATTTGTTCGATTTTGAACTAGGTGGCTATTTTGAAAGCACAAAATGTAGCTTTAATAACAGCTTCTACAACTTCACCAATAAAATAAATGGCCAGAATTATGACTTCTCTTCCTCAAATAAGCAAAAACATTATTTGTAGTTAAATAAATTTACATTTTCAAAGATTTCCCTCTTCTGCTTCTAGATCTGACTTGGAATGACAATTGCACATCTGTTTACAATCATTTTCACATGCATAAAGTGCAAGTGTAAACATTGAGTTTGGAGGTGTGGCCAGCAACAGCTTATTTGCATTACAGTGACAGAACCCTACACAGTTCATTCTGAATAGAGTTCAAAATGAGCAGAACTGATTGTTATTTTCGTCATCTGAAAATAATTTCTGTGCAAAAACTGTCCTACATATATTTTGTATTGCTCATAGACTCATGCCAACTTGTTTGGTAGGAAGCATGGTAGGTTCCCTTTAATAAACACAATACTGAATAAGTTACTTTAAACAGATTTAAATTTGAATTCATATTTTTATCAGGTCAGATCATTTTTTACTTGAGGAATACAACTTCTCTGGAAAAGGAGTTTCAGCTGCCAGCAGTTGTGCCAGAGGCTGAAACTGCTGGTGACAATAATGACTGTCAATCAATTTCTATTTCGATTGTTTTGATGTTTTTTGAATTATTATTTTTTTCATTCTAATATCAATCTGCCAGAGATATAATACAAATGCGCTGCTATATTCATCCAACCCCTTCAAAGACTATTTTTTTTTCACTGGTGGTACATTCACTACAGTATACCTCACTCTTTGAGCAGTATTTAAAAACAGACCTTGGATTATGTATTGTGACAGTCTTGGAGATCCCAGTTCAATGCACAGTTGATAAAAAAAAAAGAAAATCTTACAGACTGAATAAGAAGTCTATTATGTAAAGGCAAATTAAATGCTTCCCTTTGGATAATGTCTTGCTATGGTACCTGAATCATTTCTAATCAAAACAAAACTTCTTAGAAATTTAAGGAATACCATAAATAAGAAAGTGGCCATTAAAGCTGAATGTACTAAAGAGGGATCATTTTGGTATCCCAGAATTAGCTTAGCTTTCTGTAATTTGTATTTTTTTGAAAGAATATTAACTGACCTCAGATGTCACATGAGATTGTGGCTTAGAATTTCTCTGCATATTATCTAACGGTCAAGATATTCCTCGTCTTATATCATGCCAGCTTTCTCCTTGGGCTGCTGAGTCTCATCCATTATGTATTTCCAATTCTATGTTGAATGTGACCACCTCAGAGGTTTCAGATCACACTATGGCAAATAGCTGGTTCCTGTACAGACTTGAGAAAACCGAGATAAATTACCGTAATAGTTAGGCCATTGCTTCCCTCATACATTAGGCCAATTAGTGGTCACCACTGCTTTGGTGGGTTCCGCTAATAAAAAAAATGAAATTCAGACCATATGGTTTTGTTGAATTATCCCTACTTTAAGTCACCACTGTTATGAGTTATTATTACTGAGCAGTACAAATGAGAACAGAACTGTCCTCTGCTGTCTTCATTATGATTTATTTCACTCTGGCTTCTGCAGGGAAAGGATAAAATGCTCGTGAGGCTATAGAGAATGGTAATGACATTTCAGAAGGCATACAGAATCTTTTATCAGATATGGTGAATATGAATAATACACTCATTAAAAACATTCTGTGGGATTCAAGTGGAAGGGAGATAACTAATTTCATCAACATCAGGTGTTGCAATGTGGAGATGTCTAGCTATTTAAACATTACATGCATTTTGGAGATTTATGTCAAGCCCCAAAGTTACATCAGTGTTCTTTATTACATTGTCCATTTCTCTATTTCAGTCCCATCTTTTCTTAGTTCATGGTTCATCATTCATGACATTTAATTGGGGAACTTGGAATGAATCATAAAGGTCACAAAGCAAAATTGATCTTAATTGGCTTCTTGTAATCAAAATGCTGTTATGTGCTAAATGAATGCTCTAATGTGAGCATTAAAACATTCATTAGCCTGAGAGAATGAAGGATAATTACCAAGGATGCAATTACAGGCATGAGCACCAGTAAAAGCACATTTAAATCGCAAATCTAGTGAATACACAACATTCGTTGTTGATTTTAAGTCTTTGAAAGATTTTTTTGGTCGTAAGAAGCCACGAGACTCTTCCTTAAAGTGGTGTTTACTTTTCAGTTAATGTTTTTACAAGGAACAAAAATGCTGGAAAGGGCCTCATGGCCAGGGCTAATGTCTTCCTTAA